TAATATATTTTTACTATAAGACAATGCTAACATAACATACATCAAACACACTTATCCAACAAGAAAAAAACTAATAGAACATGATATGTAAGTAGGAAATTATATATTCTGTTCTATATAAAATAAATTATTATTAAAATTATTCCCCTTATAATTAACAAAAATGATATAAAATATATAATAATCTATAAATCCTCAAAACACAATCCAGTATATATACCATTATATTAAAAATTTAATAAAGAATATATAAATTATTATGTAAAATCCAAATACATAAAACAGACATAATTTCAACAGTTATTTCTAGAACAAAAAATTTTAAAGATATATAAAAAATCCTGAAAGAAAATATAAATATAAAATCTTAAAACTAAATTTAAAACCGTATACCATAAACACTGAACCGTAAATCTTGAACTCTAAACCTGAAGCAATATAATATGTTCAGTATTAAAAAATATTATAACTATATTAAAATAGTTCAAAATTAATTATTAATATTATTTTTCATAATAGCATGTGCGTTTTTCAACAATATTATTAAATAAAATACTATCTTATATATAGAAATAGAATGTATCATATATATTACTTAATAATTAAAATGTGTAACTCACATATACATTAATATATTATCCAATATAAATTATTATTTATAATATATTTTATCATGGCGGAAAAAATAACTGTTTTCTGCAAATTGTATATACTAAAATAAGACAAATACATATTATATTATTAGCATTATTTTTCAGTCTTTATAACATTAGTTAACTGCAGGTTTAAGAATAATAATATTATCTAAATATTATCATATTAAATTTTTAAAATAATACTTATTCCTGTTTCAGTATATTATGATAATCAATTTTTTACTATTTATTATTATGTTTATCAAGTGACGAATCATTTATTTATATGTTTGTGCGCCTTAAGTAAATTATTACTTAAAATTGTATATTTAAATATATAATTATGGATAATTGTATGATATATTATATTTATTATCTCTTATAAAACTACTAGATATTTCTGGAATTTCGAACATATTACTTTCATCACCTAGTCTATCCGAATGATTTTTTTTCCATGCTATAGCACGTCGTATCCATAAACTACATCCTGAGAACTAATTCATATGGAAAATATTCATAATATATATTATTCATTTTTTGATAATAGTTTTCCTTTAATCCATTCAAAAAAATTAATTCAGAACAAAAATATATACAAATAATATATTAATTAACCTTGAGCAGTACAAATATAAAAATGCATATTAATAGTGCTACTAATATTGTAATCATTATAGGTGGTGCAATGTTTCTTTGGCAAGGAGTTGTTATTATGGGATTATTAATCTGGATATTTAGAGATTCTATTTGTTCATTGTGTTCATACATCATGTCTACCACAATATTAAAAAGAATATCATTATTACTACTTGAATCAAAAACGATTTTATTATACGCATCATATACCTTTATGATTTTATGAAAATCACCTATTTTAATAGATTCATCAACTTTGCACAGTCTTTCTAAACTAAATCCGATTTTTGTAAATATTTCAATCAACAGATTATATACAGATTGTATGTCATTAATTCTATTTTTTTCACTTCCAAGAAGATCATGATATATCCAATAATAAAAATATTCGCAACCAGCTTCATATAAACTTCCACTATTAACAGAACCTAGATATTCCATAGCTGCGATACACATTTTTTCTAATTTATCATTGACACCTATTAAATTTCTTAATAAATCTGCATTTTCATGATTTTTACATATACTTTCCCCGAAGCTTCCTAATCCTAGATTGCTGTTCTTTACACATTCATCCATCTTTTCTTTACATTTAGGAAATTTTTTTAGAACATTATACTAAAACAAATAAAAAAATTAATAATACGTAATAAATACATATTATTAATAATTTTTTATAATATTTTTTGATAATTGAATATACAAATATAATATCGCTTTAATTTATAATTCAAAGTTCAAATTTACAATTGATTTCGCCATTTCACGTAAACTTATAGTATGTTAAATTAAGTCTATATTAAATTATAAAATATATGATCATGTATAGATCCTTGTTTATTATATAATAATCAAACTTTTTAAACATCATACAGCTATCCTTTTATATCATTATAGGATTTTTGTTAATATATAACAGAACTATTTAGTAACAAATTATTTCACAGCATAACATATCGATATAATGATATTTTTTTTATATATATTTTTAATTATTTTAAAACAAACATGAACAAAATAAATATGATATTTAGAATGAATAATTTTATGGGTCTATAAAAAATAACATTAAGGCTACATCCCCTTACAAAAATTTTATAATTTTACAATAATTATCAATAAAGAAGCATATGTATATTGTGCTAATAAATTATATTAATTTAAATATATATATTTATTATAATTGATTATTTACTGTAGTATTTACATATGTATATTTAAATTAATTAAAGTAATAAAAATCTAAAAATGTATTATCTTTCATGATATAACAACTTTATTCTTCATATGTAATATATAATCAAAGATTAATAAAACGAACTAAGCTAAATTTATTGAATTTTTCATAAATATATCAAAGCGAGTATATTATCTATTTATTATTCTATAGCTTATTATATTTTTAAAAAAAAAAAAACAATAGTACTATATATTATGACATATGTATATTGTTATAGTATTTAATTTTATAGTTCATGCTTAATTCTAAGAAATTAAATAATATAACATTATCAAATAAGTAATGTAAAAAATAAAATTCTATTTCTCCTGTGTAATCTTATTCAATTTATATATTTATAGTACATTATTAGTCTTAGTTTTGGGTGTTTAATTTTAGGGTTCAGAAGTTAGGATTTAGGATTATGTTTCGGTTTATATTTAAATAATTTTGGTTTATATGTATTTAAGAATATATTTTTATTATTTGATAATTTTAATAATATATCTACTATTTATAATATATATTTATGTATGATGCATATATATATATAATTTGTTCAATATAATAATATATGTAATTGATGCACAATATAAATAATTATCTTAAAGCCCCTTATATACATTTTACATATAATTCTAAGGCATATTCGTAACAGATTACATTTATGGAATAAAATGTAAATAGAAAGATAGAGATAATATAATAATTAATTATGTATTTTTGTCATTTATACTTATAGGAAGCTATATCATTTACATTTAATATATAATTATTAAATTAAATAGAGTAACAAATGATTAAATCTTATAATTGTGGTTAAACAAATTTATTTTATAATTTATTTGTTATATTATTAGAAAGGAATGAGATTTTTGTATGTTTTATAAATATTACTTATTTTTACGCAATATATGAATTAAAATTATATTTCATCACTCTTCCATAATAATTTATTAGTGTTGAATATAATGTTAGAATAACATTTTATGTTGTTAGTAATACATGTATAATAAAAATTATGTGAAAATCATTATCTCTCTGTAGAAATGAATTGTATTATTCCTGAATTCTTCTTACACATATCGCTTGATATGTACTTCTAATACTAAGGTAAAATTATATAGGAATATTAACACGAATATTTTGCATAAGAACTTTTATTAAATTTATATGATATATTTTATATTTTTTAAAATATATTTTCAATGAATAATTTTTTTATGTATAAATTATAAGATAATGTGAATTATTTCATATGAATTATAATTTTAACATAATATATGATCAATTATAATTGATAATTCTTTTTTACCCTAATTAATATTTATTTTATATTTCAGCACATTAATTGTAGTAAAAATATACATTTATTACACAATAATATTATAATAACTACTAAATTGCGTGATCACCACAAATATAATATATTTTATATTTCATTTTATTATTATCTTTTGTATTATGCAATTACTCATCGGATTACAAATCCAAAAAAAATTTATCTTAATGAAAAATTATATAATTATTTTTTGACATAATATAAAAATATTATACATATAAAATTTCCATTTTTTATTCGTTATCATTAATAATGAGTATGATATAATGTAATCTAAAAAAATAGATCATATTCTTCAAAATATATGTATTACATAATGTACAAAAACTGTAATGTAAATAGTATATTAGGAAAATACACAAAAAGATATAATTATATTATGGTATGACTACTGTATTATAATAAATTTATTTATATCACCTTGAGAAAAATACATTTAATATATAATTGTTTCTGTATTTTTTCATTGATATAATTATTTATAAAACTTATATAAAATATTTTATAAATATTTCTTTTATAAAGATTTAAAATGTATCTTAAATTATATAGCATCATATCATATCCAAAAATATGATTAACATATCCCCTAATATTTTTGCATATGAATTTACAATGTGCGACATTTTATATATTTATTCTAAGAATTCCTATTCCTGAAATAAGTATAGTTTTTTTTTTTTTTTTTTTACCTTACATATATATCAAACATACAATTGTATAATTTAATATTTTGAAAAAAATACAAATAAATAAAAATCAAAAATATTTTGTATTGACATATATTTAAAAGACACATAATATTATATACAGTTCTTTATAAAAAATTTTATAAAAAAATAAAAAATAACAATAAAATTTAAAATAAATGCTTATTGTACATACAGTAACGACACAATTTAGTATATATAATTATATATTCTTATTTGTTCCAATATTCCCTGGACAATTAAATGCTTCTTAGTGTTCTTTAGAATAAATTTCATTCCTTTTTTATGGTATTCCTAAAAATTATTGTCTTTAATACATAAACATATATATGATATATTTTTACGTACCACTTAATATATAAGATATGTATAAGAACTTTTTAATGAATACAGAGTATTTGGAACATTCATTATTACATTCATATTCATTATTAAAATTTTAATGAAAATATTTTGTGACACTTGAAATATCCCTATATTTATTCTATAATTAAATTATTATATTTTAATAACATAATTATAGCAAAACGCATATCACATTGAAACTTTTTCTGAGAATTATGTGTACCATATTTATTCATTTGTTAAAAACGTATAAAAATAAAAAAATTACTATTATTTTTTCTAAATCACCAAATTAGACATATTTCTTGTTACAATATGAGGAAATAAATATTTTTCCACTTATCACATGCATTTGTAACAAAGGAAAATTAAGTAAAACTAGAGATATATATCAGGGTAAACTAAAGTCGGAATGATATTGGCAACGCTTTTTCAAAAAAGCTATCATATATATAAACCGGGTAATATTTCATTGGAATCGCATATTATTAGCAAACAGGTAATAATAATAATATATTTTTGATACTACTAGGTTCAAATAATTGTGCATATATATTTACCTTAATAAGAATTTTATACAACTGCAATGATATTATTGTGATGATAAAATAAATATATTAAATTCAAGAAAATATATGTTGTACAAATTAAAGCAGAATAAGACAACATTATAATATGTTGGATTATATATATATTAAAATTGAATGCATATATATGGAGGATTATATATTTATTTTAAACAAATAAGTAATTTATTAAAGTATTTTAATGCATATAATATTAATTGTATTATAATAAGAGGCTATGTAATATTATATAGCTATTTAAAAGAGTTAGAATAATAATTTGTAGTAAATACATGTCCCTTTTTTGCAAAAAATTATTTCTAAGAACTTTAATGAGAATATTAATAATCTTGTATAATAATAATAAAGATACCATTATCGAATCAATAAGAAATTGACATAGTTCCTATAATTTATTATAAAAAAAAATCTTTATCCCCATATTATATAAAGTAAAGCAAGAATAGAAGCAAGATATATGCATTGTGACATTTAATACTTTATATAAATATATATTATTGTTCATAAGGTTTTTTCATTTGAATTATAAATTTAAAATATATCTTTTACAGAATATCTAGTTATAATTTTCAAAGTTAATGTATGCTTTATCTAATGTAATTTATTAATTACGTTATATTCATTTTCTTCATTTTACTTACTATTATCATAATTGTCTTTAATTCCTTCCTTAAAAGTTCTATGAACCTATGTGCTTTCATTCCTTAAATTTTTTTTTTATATGCAAATCTTGATTATATTCATAATATATTTTCTTATGTAATAAAAAATTCTTTCATATATTATGAAACATATTAATGTTAGTTTGATTTTCCTTAAAACAAAAATACACAAAAGTGTGTTTGAACAATAAACATAGCACAGTCTAAATATGAATATATATGTGTCTACAATATTAAGTTATATCCTTAAAAAATAAAACTTATAACAACACAATACATTTTAATTATTGTAATTTTACATCATATCTATGATGATGCTACATAATAAGAAAAAATATAAATTTAAATATTTTACTACAAATAAGGAAATTAATTTCTTCCATGCTGTTATACATTAGTTCAATTATACTTTCTGTACACAAATCATTTACTACATTAATATATATAAAATATTAAAAGAAATATATAATAAATTGAAATATTAAATTCAAACGGAAATATATTTTATTCATTATATACTTGAATACATAAAACATTTCGTATGTACATAAATATAACACAGGGAATATAAAATGAATAAGGTAAATCTATACTATAAGAATACATATTTGTGTATATCAGACAACAATAAAGGTTCAAGTAGGTATATTTAAATTATAAATAAATAAATAAATGCATTAAAACATCATAAATTATATTATTATATATAAATATATTATTTATCATGTATATGGTAAAGGCATCTATATATATGTAATCATTTGTACAACTTATATTTTATTAAATTCTAATCTAAAAAAAATTCAAGATGTCAATAACGTAATTATTAACGCATATAATAAAAATCATTATGATATAAAATTATTATTATACGTATATTTTTTAACTCTTGCGTGT